GGTCATCACGAGAGGCCCCTACAGCGACTTTGTAGTAGAGAGTGATGTACATGGGGGGGTGGGTTCTTGGCGCAGAATTCAGCACGAAGCGCAGCGCGGTAGCGAGTGTCACTAGTTCGGAGGTGCGTAATGAGGTCAGTGACTATGGGAAAGGCAGCAAGGTTAGGGAAGAGGTACGGCAGCATGAGGCGGCTCACTGAAGTAGTGGCACGTGAGGAGTAGCGTGCAACTACAGCGTCGTACAAGGTCTGAGAACTCTTGTACTGGCTAAAGTGCGCACGCTCTGAGGTAGGCAGGTGGCGACGCACAGCAAGACGTGCAGCACCATCGCGCGTGGCCCACTGTGAGCGGACAGTGGCATCAGCATCAGCAGCAGGGGCAGGAGAGGCACCAGCCGTGAGGTCAAAGAGAGAGAGACCGTCCGCCCTATCGCACTGTAAGAAAAGCTGCAGGTCATCTATCCAAATGTCAAAGTCAATGGCCCGACCCTCAGCGTCAAAAGCAAGGACACTAGGGGTAGCCATGACAGCAGTAGACTAGCAGTGCGAACAGTAGGGTGAGGGCAGTGCAGTGACAGAGGCGCTGCTCTTACCAGACAGGGCGGCTCGGGCGGCTCGGCTGCAGGGCGACTCGGCGGCTCGGCAGCTGGGCGGTAGGCAGCTCGGCAGCTGAGCGTCTCGGCGGCTCGGCTGCTGGGCGGCTCGGCGGCTCGGCTGCTGGGCGGCTCGGCGGCTCGGGTGCTGGGTGGCTCGGCGGCTCGGCGGCTGGGCGGCTCGGCTGCTGGGCGGCACAGCGGCTTGGCTGCTGGGCGGCTCGGTGGCTGGGCGGCTCTGCGGCTCAGCTGCTGGGCGGCTCGGCGGCTTTGTTGCTGGGCAGCTCGGCGGCTCTGCTGTTGGGCGGCTCGGCGGAGCCGCAAAGGAGGCGACGGAAGGGCCGCTGAGAGGGCGGCGTCCGGGGCCGCTGAGAGGAGGCGGCTGGGCCGCCGAGAGGAGGCGGCGGGGCCGCAGAGAGGAGGCGGCGGGGCCGCCGAGAGGAGGCGGCAGAGCCGCTTAAAGGAGGCGGCGGGGCCGCTTAAAGGAGGTGGCGGGGCCGCTAAAAAGGCGGCGACGAGGCCGCTACAGGGGTAGTGGCGGGGCCGCTGAAAGGAGACGGTGGGGCCGATGAAAGGAGACGGCGGGGCCGCTGAAAGGAGACGGCGGGGCCGCTAAGAAGGGCGGCGACGGGCCGTTGAAGAGGGCGGCAACAGAGCCGCAGGGAGGGCGGCGTCAGGGCCGTGCAAGGGCAGCGATGGGGCCGCTGGTGAAAGGGCGGCGAGGGGCCGCAGGGGGAGAGCGGCGACTGGCCGCAAAGGGCGGCGGATCGGGGCCGCAAGAGCGGCAGATCGAGGCCGCAAGAGGCCTCTAGGGGTCCGTGAGGGCGGCTTGGGCGGCGCGACGCGGCCGTTAGGGCGGCGCGACGCGACCGCTAGGGCAGCGCGACGGGGCCGCTAGGGGCCGCTAAGGGCGACGCGACGGGGCCGTGAGGGGCCTAGCGAGGGCGCGAGGGTAAGGAAAGCACACGAGGCGCAACTCGGGCCTAAGCGGAGTGCGCTCCGGGCAGGAAAAAAAAAAAATCGTAGTGGTGGGCCCTAGGAATCGTTCCCGTTAGGGAACCTGCTCAATACCATGAGAAGAAACGAGAATGATTGAACTATGAATGAATTGGGTACAAGTACTAACCCTAATTGGGTTGTACCCCTTATGGGCTACCCCACTATAGCCTACACAATATGCATGAGCTATAATGTTCTGACACCCCCCTCTATTATGGGTGCACATTTTCCAGAAAAACATTACCCTGGTTGCTCAAGGTTGTAAAGTAGTTAACTCTGATTGTTCAGGGTCGAGAATTGAACATCAGAGTTGTATCGCGCTCTTTTTTACCGGGGAAAAATGTCCCACTCTCCATGAAGTCTGCGCGCTGTGTTTCGTGCTGGCTGTGCACTCCACTAATTTGTGCAGGGCGGGTGCGATTGACCTATCTGGTGTGGGAGTGTAACGTTTCCCTGTCTTATTACCATGCCTAATCAAATCTCTTCAGACACGCTGCAACTACAGAGGCGTGCATTCTGGAGCTAGTGTAAAAGGGCGAGTCAAACCTGTTCGAGTCACAGATTTCGAACTATTTCAACCAATCACTACAAAATAACTGACATTGCAGATTCGCCTGATCACTTTGGCGGTGTATCAGAAAGGAGGCTCGAAGAAACTTCAGCTCGATAAGGGGGGGGGGGGGATCACGCGATCAATCCAAAGGCGGGGTTATCGGAAGGAAAATTCGAGGAGCCTTCGTCCCGATACCCCCGCAGTCAGGGTCCACAGAACGCGTACTCTACATGGACAGAGTCTGCAAGTACATTACTCTGAGCCTAGTTACAAGATTTTAGGGTTCGTTAAGTAACTTATCTGATTGGATCAGTGTTCACAAGTTTAAAAAACTGTGATTGCAGGGACCACCAGGTAAGAAGCCTGTAATCACCCTGAAATCAGGGTAATTACCCTGATAAAATCAGCCCTGGCCTCGACACTGGAACGGAAAGTTTCCGCAAGAGGGGGGTGTCAAACTTATATGATCTAGCCTGTGTCGGCTGTAGCGAGTTAGATACTAAGGGGTACACAATTCTAGGGTTTCATATTTGTGTCACTTTCATTCCTTAGTCATTCATTCTCGTTCTAAGTTTCTCATGGTATCGAGCAGGTTCCCTAGTGGGAACTGTCCTAGGGCCCACCAAGATCGAAATTTTTTTTTCCTGCCCGGGGCGCGCGTTGTCCCCTGCCCGAGGCGTGCCTAGTGTTCTGCCCTTAGCGGCCCGTCGCGCCCTCCTTAGCGGCCCCGTCGCGCCCTCCTTAGCGGCCCCGTCGCGCACTCCTTAGCGGCCCCGTCGCGCCCTCCTTAGCGGCCCGTCGCGCCGCCCTTAGCGGCCTCGTCGCCGCCTCTGCCGACCTCGTTGCCGCCCTTGACGGCCCCGTCGCCGCCCCTACCGGCCTCGTTGCCGCCCTTGACGGCCCCGTCGCCGCCCCTTCCGGCCCTGTCGCCGTCCTTCCGCGGCCCCATCGCCGCCTCCCCCCTTTCAGCGGCCCCGTCGCCGCCCTTTCAGCGGCCCCGTTGCCGCCCTTTCAGCGGCCCCGTCGTCGCCCTTTGAGCGGCCCCGTCGCCGCCCTCTCAGCGGCCCCGTCGCCGCCCTTTCAGCGGCCTCGTCGCCGCCTATTAGTGGCTTCGTCGCCGCCCTTCAGCGGCCCCGTCGCCGCCCTTTCAGCGGCCCCGTCCCCGCCTCTTAGCGGCTTCGTCGCCGCCCTTCAGCAGCGCCGTCGCCGCCCTTCAGCGGCCCCATCGCCACCCCCTTTTCGTGGCCTCGTCGCCGCCACTTTCCGCGGCCTCGTCGCCGCCCTTCAGCGGCCCCGTCACCGCTCCTTCACAGTAGCGACGCCGCCCTTCACGGCCCCGCCGAGCCGCCTTCGCTGCCGAGCCGCTGAGCCGCCTTTGGCGCCGAGCCACCGAACCGCCTTTGCCGCCGAGCCGCCGAGCCAAACTGCAGCCGAGCCGCCGAGTCGCCGAGCCGCCGGGCCGCCGCAGCCGAGACGCCGCCGTCACTGCAGTAGCGGCTCTGTCCCTGCCGGCCTGCCCCGGACCACCTCACTTGCCTGGTAAGCACAACGCCTTTGCCACTGCACTGCCCTACCCCGCTGTGCTCACTGAGAACACTGAAACGAGAATGAGATGCACTATGAAAGAGTTGGGTACAAGTACTAACCCTAATTGGCTTGTACCCCATATGGGCTACCCCACTACAACCTACACAAAAGCATAAGCTATGATGTTTTGACACACCCCTATGGGCAAAGTGGGGGAGTACAAGGGGTCACAAGACCAGTCAAGCAAAGCAAGCTCAGGGTGGATCACAAAGTCACCACACATTCCGAGCACAAGGTCAAGGCCACAAGGCCAGTTCACATGCAGGAGTTCATATATATATAAAAGGCTAGACAAGCAAGAGCAGGTGTATATAAATATGTAATAGTACAAGCAAGGTCAAGAGGTGAGCAAGTGAGGCAAGGCAGGCACAAGACCCAGCTGAGTACAGAAGCGCTGATGATCACAAGGCGCAAGCGCCTTGGTGAAGATATCAGCAGTGTTGGCCTCAGAGGCCACGTACGCAAGACGCAGCTGACCACGCTGCTGCGGCTCACGAGCAACAAAGTAGCGGAGAGCAATGTGCTTCGTTCTATGCTCCAGTCTCTGCTCTCGACACAAGGCCAGCATGGGCTGGGCCGGGGCCGGGAAGGGGCGGAGCCGGGGCCGTAAGGTAGGCGACGGGGCCAGCAGAGACTGGGCCGAGTCGGGAAGGGCGGCGTCGGGGCCGAGAAAGGGCGGCGCCTGAGCCGTGAAGGGCAGCGACGGGGCCGCAGGGCTAGGCGACGGGGCCAGCAGGGGCGGGGCCGGGTCGCGAAGGGCGGTGTCGGGGCCGGGAAGGGCAGCGCCGGGGCCGCAAGGAGGCGACGGGGCCGCAGGTAGGCGACGGGGCCGCAGGTAGGCGTCGGGGCCGCAGGTAGGCGACGGGGCCAGCAAGGGCGGGGCCGGGTCGGGAAGGGCGGCGCAAGGGCCGCGGGATAGGCTACGGGGCCGAAAGGGTGGCGAATCGGGGCCGGGAAGGGCGGCTTGAGGGCCGCGGGGTAGGCGCGATACGGTGAGAAAATGGGGGGGGGGGGAGCGCGACTCGGGCAATGGCAGAGCGCGCTCCGGGTAGGAAAAAAAATCGAATCGGTGGGCCTTAGGAACAGTTCCCATGAGGGAACCTGCTCGATACCATGAGAAAACTGAAATGAGAATGAGATGCACTATGAAAGACTTGGGTACAAGTACTAACCCTGATTGGGTTGTACCCCATATGGGCTACCCCACTACAGCCTACACAAAAGCATAAGCTATGATGTTCTGACACTCACTGCCTGTCTACTGCTGTCATGGCCACCCCCAGTGTTCTCACCTTTGACGCTCAGGGTTGGGCTGTTGAATTCAAGGTCTGGGTAGATGATCTGCAGCTTATTCTACAGTGCGATAGGGCAGACGGTCTCTCCCTGTTTGACCTCACTTCTGGTGCCTCTCCTGCCCTTGCTGCTGATGCTGACGCCACTGTTCGCTCATAGTGGGCCACGCGCGATGCTGCTGCCCGCCTTGCTGTGCGCCGCCATTTACCGACTGCTGAGCGCGCGCATTTTAGTCAGTACAAGAGTGCTAAGACCTTGTACGACGCTGTAGTTGCACGCTACTCTTCCCCTGCCACTGCTGCTCTTAGCCGCCTCATACTGCCGTTCCGCTTCCCTGACCTCACCGCCTTTCCCACAGTCGCTGACCTCATTACACACCTTCGCACTAGTGACATTCGCTTCCGTGCTGCCCTTCCTGAGCTGAGTTCTGCGCCAAGAACCCCCCCCCTTTGTACATCACCCTCTACTACATAGTCACCCGGCTCCCTAACACCCTTCGCTCGGACAGGGACCACTTCCTCTCAGTTTGCCCCACCACTCTCACCGTTGACCTTCTCAAAGAGCGCCTCCTAGCAGCAGAGAAGAGTATAGTCTCTCGTGGTGACCCTCGTACCCCTATCTTTGAGGGGTGCTCCCCCTCCCCCGTCTTGCCCTCTGTTGCCTCTGCTGCTGCGGCCGACCTCGTTGGTCTTGAGTCGGTCGGCGTGGCGTCTGCCCCTAGCAAGAGACGCCGCTCAGGCAAGGGCAAGGAGGGCAAGGGCGTTGGAGGAGCTGGCGGGGGCGGTGGAGGCAGCGGTGGAGGCGGCGGAAGGGTTGGGGGTGGCGGTGGGAGTGGTGCTGGGGGTGGGGGCGCTAGTGGCGGCAGTGAAGGCGGAGGAGGCGGCGGTGGTGGCGGTGCGGGCGGAGGTTGCGGAGGTGGAGGCAGTGGTGGAGGAAGCGGCAGTGAAGAATAAAACGAGAGAATGAATGAACTATTAAAGAGTTGGGTACAAGTACTCACCCTAATTGGGTTGTACCCCTTATGGGCTACCCCACTACAGCCTACACAACAGCATAAGCTATAATGTTCTGACAGCGGCGGCGGAGGTGGAGCTGGTCGGGGCGGCGCTACGCAGAGGGCCAGCTCCGGTGGTGGTCAGCGCCAGCAGCAGCAGCAGCAGCAGCAGCGCACTCGTGAGACCCCTTCCCCCAGCAGCTTCGTGAGTGGTACACTGCTCGTAAGCGGGGTGGGGTTGCTGGCCCCTGTACCTACGTTCTACGTACCGGCGACCGCGCGGGTGAGCAGTGTGGGGGTCTGCACTGCACCCAGCACTGCTTCGACCGCCTGACGGACGCTTGGCGTCATCAGTTCCCTGACGCTACTGAGATCCCTCGCTAGGGCGAGCTGTTTATGGCAGGTGTTCCGATCTTTGATCTTGACTATGATGCTATTCTTGCTGCCATGTATGATGTGACTATTAGTGATGAGGGTGACTGTTACCGGTGTTTTCCGCCTGACCCGAGCATTGAGGCTGTTGCTCTAGGTGCTGGTGAGACTGCTGCCCCAGGTGCTGGTGAGTCTGCGCTCTCAGGTACCGCGTCGGCTCCGGCCACCCACACCTTCACCCTTGACTCGGATGCTTCCCGCTCCTTTTTTTGAGACCGCACCACGCTTACGCCGCTTAGTCGGCCAGTGGGAGTCTCCCTGGCAGACCCCTCTGGAGGTCCTGTCCTTGCCCACTTCTTCACTATTCTACCGTGTACGGCAGCCCTTTTTGGCACCCTGTCGGGTCTTTACCTCCCCTCTTTCTCTACAAACTTGGTGAGTGGTGCTGACCTACAGGATGGAGGGGTTCACCAGTTCACTCCTGCAAGTCAGCGAGTGACCCACTGTACCTGTGCTCGGATGGGCTGTCACTTGGCCACGTTTACCCAACAGCCGGAGTCGAGCCTGGACAAACTGACTACTGAGTCTCCTCCGGTCGATAAGTCTGCTCAGGTAGCCGCGTCGGGTCAGGTGTTTGCTGCGGCGTCCAGGTGTGGTCCTAAGTCTGCCCCCTGCTCGTGTCGTCTCGTGTCTCACCAGACTCTCCTTTGGCACCACCGCCTTGGTCACCCCTCCTTGCCTCGTCTTCGAGGCATGGTCTCCCGTGTCCTTGTCTCTGGTCTCCCCCGGTCCCTCCCTCCCCTTCCTCAGGGGCCTGCCCCCACCTGCGTTCCCTGCGTCGAGGGGCGGCAGCGCGCTGCATCTCACTCCTCCGAGTTTCCTCCGACAGAGGCTCTGGTGCAAACGCTTCACATGGACGTGTGGGGCCCAGCCCGCGTCCGTGGACAGGGTCACGAGCGTTACTTCCTGCTGGTGGTTGATGACTACTCGCGTTACACCGCAGTCTTCCCCTTGCGCAGCAAGGGTGAGGTCATTGAGGTGCTGATCGCCTAGATCCACGAGAACCTGTCTAGCTCAGAGAGAGTTTCGGCTCGGACTTTCCTGTTCTGCATCTGCACTCTGACAGAGGCGGAGAGTTCTCCTCTGACCTTCTGCGAGCCTTCTGTCGTGCACGAGGCATCCGCCAGACCTTCACGCTTCCGGACTGTCTGCAGCAAAATGGGATTGCTGAGCGTCGCATTTGCATGGTCATGGACGTCGGTCGTACGTCCATGGTCCATGCAGCTGCCCCCCAATTTCTTTGGCCGTTTGCGGTTCGGTACGTGGCGCATCCTATCAACCTTCAGCCCCGGGTCTCCATGCCGGAGACCTCCCCTGCTTTGCTGTAGACGGGGAAGGTAGGCGATGCGTCTGCGTTTCGTGTCTGGGGATCTCGGGCGTTTGTCCGCGACTTGTCTGCGGACAAGCTGTCCCCTCGTGCTGTTCCCTGCGTCTTCCTTGGCTTCCCCCCTGATGCGCCGAGCTGGCACTTCTACCACCCCACCTCGCGCCGTGTTCTGTCCTCCCAGGACGTCACGTTTGACGAGTCGGTTCCCTACTACCGTCTCTTCCCCTAACGCACTACGTCCCTCCCCCCCCCCGCAACTCTTCCTTCCGCCAGGTCCCCCTCCGGTAGACCCCCTCCCCCCTCAGGGTCCGTGCCCCCTCAGGTGTGTCTCAGGTAGACGTAGTCGACCCTGTCGAGGTAGCTGTAGACTCTGGTGCTGCTAGGGGTGCTGAGCCTGCGGGTGCTGGGTCTGGGGTTGCTGACTCTGGGGGCGCTGTGCCTGGGGGTGCTGACTCTGGGGGTGCTGCGCCTTGGGGGTGCTGAGCCTGGGGGTGCTGCGTCTGGGGGTGCTGAGCCTGGGGGTGCTGCGTCTTGGGGTGCGGAGTCTGAGGGTACTGGACCTGCTCGTGTGGTGTCTGGCGGTGCTGGGCCTGGAGGTTCTTCGGATGCTTCGTCCCGGTGGGAGCTACTCTCTCCACAGGAGCTGCGTGAGTGGTTTGCCTGGCGCTGGAGGCGAGCTGCGGGTGCTGGAGGTTTTGCTGCTGTTGAGGGTGCTGGTGCCGCGGGTCCCGGAGGTGCTCGTACTGGGAATACTAAAGCTGTTGGGCCTGCGAGTGGTTCTCGTACTTGAGCTGGTGGTGCTGCGGGCGTCGGTGCTACTGAGGGTGCTGGAGCTGGACCCGCTACGTAAACTGGTGGTCCGGCTGGAGCTGGAGCTACTGGGGGTGTTGGCGCTGAGGGTGCCTCTGGTACTGGTGCCTCTGAGGGTACTGGAGTTGGCGCTGGGGGTGCTGCTGGCGCTAGTGCTGTCGTTCGGGGTGCTCGTGCTGTCCCTTGTGGTGCTGGTGGTGCTTAGCGGCCGCGGCCGTACTTCGTTCCGCTCCTTGAGCAGGTTCTTGGTCTTCCGCCCTCTACTAGTCCGCCTCCTCTCTTAGAGTGTCCACAGCCTGTCCTGTCCGAGTCACAGTTATAGCCTACCTCTCCTCTGCCTGCTCCTTCTCCCTACACTGGTCCTACTGAAGGTCTTGCTCAGCAGTCGTGAGCCTGTGTCTCGTCATGCATCGCCTGTCCGTGCTGCTCACACTAGAGGTCGTGGTTCACGTCAGCATCCTCCCCCTGTCCGTGGCACGCACCAGATGTCTTTGCGTCCCTCCACTGCTCCGCTGCGGCCTCTTTGCCTTCTCCTCCTGAGTCCTCTCTTCCTGTTCTTGCCGACCCGGAGTCGGACTCCCTTCGTGCAGCCAGTCCTACTGTCACGTGTCTCCTTGCTACTGTCGTCACTGACCCTTCCTTTGAGTCCACTGCTGCGTCTGCCTTACTTTCTGAGCTTGTCGGCTTCGCTGCTCACTGTCGCCTAGACTACGCTGCTAGTCTTGTCGCTCAGTCTGAGTCTGTTTGTCCTCCGTCCGTCGGGGGTGAATGTGCCCTTGGCACGGACGTCCTTGAGGACAGGCAGGAGGAGTTCCAGTGCTTGGCTGCTGCTTCACCTCATCTCGTGTCCATGCTGCTTGCCCCTGAGGGAGACTCGGATGCACCAGACATCCCGACTCCGCGCTCTTACGCGGAGGCGATAGAGGGTCCCTACTCCTCTCAGTGGCAAGCAGCCATGGATGCAAAGATGGCTTCTTGGAAGTCCAGAGGCACCTACGTCGACGAGGTTCCCCCTCCTAGGGCGAACATCGTCAGTGGCATGTGGATTTTCAGTGTGAAGCGGCCGCGGGGTTCTCCGCCTGTCTTCAAGGGGCGCTGCGTGGCTCGTGGCTTCAGTCATCGACAGGGAGTTGACTACTTTCAGACCTTCTCTCCCACCTCGAAGATGACCACTCTTCGGGTACTACTGCACATAGCCGCTCACCGTGACTACGAGCTTCACTCTCTTGACTTCAGCACTGCTTTCTTGTAGGTCAACCTGCACGAGGAGATCTGGCTGCGCCGCCCACCTAGCTTCACTGGGTCTTTTCCTCCTGGTACCCATTGGAGCCTCCGGCGGCCAGTCTACGGTCTCCGCGAGGCACCTCGTGAGTGGCACGACACACTGAGGACTACACTTGCGGTTCTTGGGTTTGCTCCTTCTACTGCCAACCCGTCGCTGTTTCTGCGCACCAACACTTCTTTGCCGCCATTCTATATCCTCGTGTACATTGACGACTTGGTCTTTGCCACAGCTGACACTGCTGGACTCGCCCACATGAAGTCCGAGCTGCAGAAGAGACACACGTGCACAGACCTGGGTGAACTGCGCAGCTACCTTGGCTTGTAGATCACCCGGGATAGAGCACAGCGCACCATTACCCTGTCTCAGTCACACATGGTGCAGCGGGTCCTTTAGCGCTTCGACTTCACGTACTCCTCGCCTCAGGCCACTCCTCTGTCTACTCGCTACTCGCTCTCAGCTCTGCCTTCGGATGAGTCCGTAGAGTCGAGTGGCCCGTACCCAGAGCTTGTTGGCTGCCTCATGTACCTGATGACCTGCACTCGACCTAACCTTGCATAGCCTCTTAGCATTCTGGCACGCTATGTTGCTCCTGGGAGACACACACCAGAGCACATGGCTGCAGCGAAGAGGGTGTAGCGCTACTTGTGCAGTACGTCGGGCATGGGGCTTGTGCTTGGAGGGCGGAGTCCAGTGGTCCTCACAGGTCACGCAGACACTTCTTGGGCTGACGACCAGGCTACGCGGCGGTCGTCACAGGGTTACACCTTCAGCCTTGGCTCCGGCTCTGTTTCGTGGTGGTCTACCCGCTCGTCTTCTGTTCTCGGCTCCAGTTGTGAGGCTAAGATCTACGCAGGGGCCATGGCTGCACAGGAGCTACGCTGGCTCACCTACCTGCTGACTGACCTCGGAGAGCCGCCTCGTTCTCCTCTAGTTCTGTACGTAGACAACAAGGCTATGCTGGCCTTGTGTCGGGAGCACAGACTAGAGCACAGAATGAAGCACATCGCTCTTCGCTACTTCCTTGCTCGTGAGCTGCAGCAGTGCGGTTAGCTGCGTCTTGCTAACGTGGCCTCTAAGGCCAACACTGCCGATATCTTCACCAAGG